TGAGAAGCAGAGACTCGGTGTGTATGCAGAGATAAATGCAAGGAGCACAGCAGCTGAAGCCATCGGTCTTCACCCTGCAGTTGAAGATCTGTCAGTGGATATGCTCAAGGTTGCCTCTGTAATTTTGAGTCACAGGATAGTGCTTATACCAATGGAAACAAGATCCAAAAGAAATGCCTGGTTCAAAAGGTGGGAGGCTTTCTGCAAGTGAAAGATGAAGAGGAAAAACTTAAAAAAGTTATTTTAGGCTCTTGATGCTCATTGTTATGATGCATCCTTGCAAATTTGTCCCAAGAAAACTTTATTAAAATTCATATACTTATTTTTTCAACTTATATTTATTTTTCTTTTTTTAAATATATATTTTATTGCACTTTAGGTTCTGGGGTACATGTGCAAAACATGCAGGATTGTTGCACAGGTACATACATGGCAATGTAGTTTGCTGCCTCCATCCCCCTGTCACCTATATCTGGCATTTCTCCCCATGTTATCCCTCCCCAACCTCCTACCCCTAAAATTCATATACTTAATCAGATCAACCACAGGAAGAAAAAGAAAATGAACATTAATCTTAATGGGACATTCACAGAAGTATAAGACCTAATTATTTACCAGGGGCAAACTCCATACGGTATCTATATTAGATAATATATTTGTATTAAGCTTAATTCACTTAATTCATTATTAAAATTATTTACCAGAATTCGGTTCTTCTTGTTACACATTCCTAGGCTGGCGCTTGCAAGTGTTTGTTTTTATCATAAAATTATTTTTGCTTAAGCAATAATTAAGCATTAATAATTGTTTTAATAATTGTTTAATAAAAGTTCAAGAATGCTTAATAACCTTGAGATTGAGGCCAGACACAGTGGCTCACATCTGTTATCCCAACACTTTGAGAGGCCAAAACAGGAGGATGGCTTGAGCCCAAGAGTTCAAGGCCAGCCTGGGCAACATAGTAAAACCTTGTCTCTACAAAATTTAAAAAAAATTAAGTGTGATGGTGCATGCCTGTGGTTCCAGCTACTCAGGAGGTTGAGGCAGGAAGATCACTTGAACCCAAGAGATTGAGGCTGCAGTGAGCCTTGTTTGTGCCACTGTACTCCAGCCTGGATGAGAGTAAGACCCTGTCTCGAAGAGGCAGAGAGAGAGAAAGAGAGAGAGAGAGAGAGAGAGAGATTCATAAAGAAATTTATAAAAAAAAAAATCACTTTTTTTTGAGTCAGAATCTCTGCTCTGTCACTTGGCTGGAATGCAGTGGTGCAATCATAATTCACTGTGTCCTCAAACTCTTGGGCCCAAGTAATCTTCCTGTTTCAACCTCCCAAGTAGCTCAGGCTACAGGTGCATGCCACATGCCTGGCTAATTGTTATTGTTGTTGTTTTATATTTTTAAGCAATGGAGTCTCCTTACATTGCTCAGGCTTGTCTTGAACTCTTGGCCTCAAGCGATCCTCCCACCTGAGTTTCCCAAGTCACTGGGATTATAGTTGTGAGTCACTATCCCGGCTCACATCACTCTTATATACGATAAAACAGAGTATTCAGCAGAACAAAATTAAAAAATATAGAGAGAAACAGCAATGTTTCCAATTAGTCAAAACAGCTACATGTTAATTTCAGTGAAATAAGCAACCAAACAAGAAGAGGGCATGGAATCCCATCGAATTTTGGGTTTCCTCCAAGTTGATTGTGGAAGTAAAAATGTTCTACACACATTTTTAGAAGTTTACAAATTATATGACTTGCAATTTCATAAAATTATGAGTGAATGTTGTGTCTGGGACAAAATAGATCCCCGATCAATGTATTATATTTCCACAAGGCCCCTAATGTCACAGATAGTAGTCACTAAACAAAACATTTGTCTATGGCAGAATGAGTAGATTCCAATGTAGGGCCAGGCGCAGTAGCTCAGGCCTGTGATATTAGCATTTTGGAAGGCAGAGGCAAGCAGATCGCTTGAGCCCAGTCAGGAGTTTGAGACTAGCCTGGGCAACATGGCAAAACCCCATCTCTACAAAAAAGACAAAAAAAAAAAAAAATAGCTGAGCATGGTGGCACGTGCCTATATTTCCAGCTACCTGAGAGGCTGATGTAGGAGGATAACCTGAGCCTGGAGAGGTTGAGGCTGCAGTGAGCTGTGATCCCACCACTGCATTCCAGAGACACCCAGTCCGGATTTAAAAAAAAATTCCAATTTAGTATTCTGTAACCCCAAGACCATAATCCACTCTTACTGTGCAAGCTTTACATAAAACTCTAACTTCCATACTGAGTTTGTGTGGGAATTCTTGGGTTTCAACTTGGCACATCATCTATGTACTTCCTAATGTGTGAAATTAATCCAGACACAAAGTTATTCAAATGATTGTATTTACAAAAATGGCACAAAGTGATTAAATAGTCTATTTACATGCATATATATTTGAACTCCATAAAACGTTATTATTATTGTCCTATGCAATTAATATTAACTTAAATTTGCCCTCATATTTACCCTTTAAGTTGCTATTCATGCTTTCATCTCTGAGTTTCCATCTGGGATTATTTTCTTTCCTCCAAACTTATCCAACAATTTTCTATTGTCATTTGGATATTTGTGTATTATCATGAATACATATAATGTTTTATTATATTAATTATAATAATATATTATTGTTGTTCATATGGTTAATGTTCACTTTTTTTTTTCTTGAGACAGGGTCTCACCCTATCACCCAGCTGGAGCACAGTGGCACAACCACAGCTCACTGAAACCTCGATCTCCCAGCTCAAGCGATCCTCCTACCTCAGCCTTCTGAGTAGCTAGGACTAGGGACACACAACCACGCTTGGCTAATTTTTGTATTTTTTTTGTAGAGACAGTGTTTCGCCATGTTGCCCAGTCTGGTCTCAAACTCTGCCCACCGCAGCCTCCCCAAGTGCTGGGAATACAGGCATGAGCCACCATGCCCAGTCCAACGTTCACTCTAAGTTTGCTCACGTCTTTGACTTTTTTGTTGGGCTTCTTGCATTTCTAGGTTTCCATGTGGGTAAATTTTTTTCCTGCTGGAAGGATACTCTTTCATATTCCCTTTATTGTCTGTTTGCTGATGGCAAGTTCTCTTAAGCCTTTGTTTCTAAAAATAGCTTTGTTTTATCTTTATTTGGAGGAGTATTATTGCTGGGCATAGAAATCTAGATTGGCAGGGGTTGGTCTGTTTGTCAAACTCTGTAATTGCATCTGATCTAATTTCCAGTTATCAAGGAAACTACACTTTTGGTTCTTCCAGGAAAATAAAATGTAGACACCATTAATATTTCATTATATTTGAGTGAACATAAACTCTATATTTCCTAAACTTGGGAATTAAATATATAACTATGGAATCTCATTCAGAAAAAAAACACACTCCTTGTGCACCCTTCTAGTATACACGGATCAAAATAAATAAAGTGAATATCAATATTTGGAAGTTTAAACGAGCAAGAAGTCACAAGATGCAGTCAGGAAAGTGAGTTAAGCTGGCAAGAAGTAGTGCTCAAAGCAAAACCCTGGATGTTTGTTGCAATTCTCCAAGCTTTAAGGATGGTTCTTTTTGTCTCCTTACCCTTTTAAACACATTCATTTATTTATTGCCTCTTTCAACAAGTTTTTTTCTTTAAAGCTCTGGTTAGTGTTAGATACTGTAAATCCTGATTAATCAGACATAGACTCAGCCTGCAAGGAGCTTCCCAACAGAAACGTTAACAGGTCTACAAACACCAGTAACAGATTGAGACAGCCACAACAGATGCATAGACAAAGATTATTCCTCGTTAAGAGGAGTGAATAATTATTTGTGGGCAATAAAGAGACTAAGGGAGAAAAGAATCAGAAAAAAAAAAGTCTCCAAGAGGCAGCATGTAAGCAGTACCTTTAAGAAAAGAAATGGTGGTGCCAAGATAATTACAAACGGCAGGTGACAAAGTTTTCTGGGAAACATTGTCCGAGAAGGAATAGGCAAGAACTGCGGTCAAGCAGAATTACATATGTAAAAGAGCAGTGAGAAGTAAGAGAAAATGCCAAATTGCAGACGGCCTTAAACGCTGGGCTAAGAAGTCTGGTTTGAGACAAACGTCCAGCTAAAGCGCATCTGAGGGTTTTTTCCAGAGAGGGGAGGGAGAAGGGCATGTATCTATTAGGTTGGTGCAAAAGTAATTGTGGCTTTGCTATTAGTTTCAGTGGCAAAAACCACAATTAGTTTTGCACCAATTGATTTAATTAATTTATTTTTGAGATGAAGTCTTGCTCTATTGCCCAGGCTGGAGTGCAGTGGAGCAAGCTAGGCTCACTGCAACCTCCGCCTCCCTGGCTCAAGCGATTCTCAAGCTTCAGCCTCCCGAGTAGCTGGGACTGCAGGCACGCGACACCACGCCCGGCTTGCTTATTTATTTATTTATTTATTTATTTTAATTTTTCGTAGAGAGGGGGTTTCACCATGGTGGCCAGGCTGGTCTCGAACTCCTGAGCTCAGGCCATCCGCCCACCTCGGCCTCCTAAAGTGCTGGGATTACTGGCATGAGCCACGGCGCCCGGCCTACCATCCTACGAGGCAGGCATCAGGATCCCTACACAGTGAAGGCGCGACCACTCCGTATCTGTCTACAGGCGTGCCTGTTGCCTTCTGCGGGCTGTGCTATGGACAGCACTTGGGATGTCAGATTGACCCCTAATAAGGTAGATTCGTAAATACTGCTGCGGGGCTGACTAACTGATAGACCGGCCCAGCTAGAAAGCACCTGGACCTCGGCTGGAATTGGCGGAAAGTCCAGGCAGCGGAGAGGAGCGGTCCCTGGGACTGCGCGCGCTCTTGGCACCAGGGTCAGAACTCACGTGTTCCAGGAGACCCTCGCGCGCCTCCAGGTTGCATAGAATTGGCCGCCAGAGTTCCGCCAGCTGTCGGAGCCAGGCCTTGCCAGCTGGGGGGCGGGGCTTTGCCAGCTAGAGGGCGGGGCCTTACCAGCTAGGGGGCGGGACCTTGCCGCTGGTAGGGTGGGGCGGGCTGCGGGCGGTGGGCCTGCGGCCGGGTCTGGACTCGCCAGAGACCAAGAGCCGCGAACTGGGCAGTCCCTGGGCTGCGCCGCCCGCCTGTCTCTAGCGCCGCCGAGCCGCCAGTGCGAGCGCTCTCCTCCAGCATGCTGCGGCGGGGCAGCCAGGCTCTCCGGCGCTTCTCCACCGGCCGGGTGAGTCCGGCCCGGGTGAGCGTCCCGGCTGTCACCCTGTCCTGGTTTCCAGACACCAGGGTGGGAGGGCCGGGGCGGTGGGGCTGGGAATGGGCAGCGATGCTTAGACTTTGCTAAAAGGCAAGACAGCGTTTAAAACAAACGAACAAACAAAAACCGAGACCTCAGAAAAGGGCCCGGGGAGGGTCCCGGATGGGAACTGGCACGCAAGCCATTGTCTTCTGTCGGGAAGGGGCTGAGGATTCAGTTTTTGGATGTCAGGTCTGGCTGGGCTGGCAAGGTGGGAACAGTCACCTGGTAAGGAGGACAGAGTCTGCTTCCTTTTCTTTGTCACTTAAATTGCGAGATCACTGGTCAAGAGCTGGATCCATAAAGGACCGAGCCCTTCTCCTGGAGGAGGGGAGTACCAAGTCAGTCGGGTCCTCGTTGGCGGCCTGGGAGGTGTTAAGCTCTCGGACTGGCACGCAGTGCCGGTTCAGATAATGGCAGTCAAAACTGTTGGCGGCAAACTCAGTATTCCTGAGCTGAGCTGCAGATGGCAAAATTTCTGGAATTGCCAGGCGCTGCAGAGACAGCCACACTGGAACGCTATTCTACTGTAACACAAGAACCGAGCTCTGGCCCAGCCCCGCGCCCTGGAATTGCATCAGCTCCTTCAGAAATGGAACCGAAAGCGGACACGTTGCATTGTGGTGCTGCCTTCAGCACCCAGGGGGCCTCGGGACTGGTTAGGGAAGACAGAGAGGGAGGAAAAAAAGCTGTCTTATGTACCTTATCTCTTTTATAGGAAGTACATACAAGAATTTGCTTATCGATTCTTTTTCTCGGTCATGCCAAAGACATATATGTACATTTCTAGATATAAAAAACTTAGAGGCAGAAAGAAGTCTTGAATAGCACCAAAAACTGGCCCAAACTTGCATCAGAGGAAAAGCTTTCTGTATCCCAGACAACCCAAATAATGAGAATTCTTTTTACTCTTTGCAACAAGTTCTAGTTACTTTGAGGTATATTCACCTTTTATAAAATGAGGAGTGGGGGTGGGGAAGACCTGCTCTTCCAGGTCTTTTGCCAGCTCTTCCCACCACGTGGCACATGGGATAGCAGCTGGATAGCACAGAGAGCAAGGGGCTGTGCCCAGTGCCTGGGCCTGTTTTGTTGGCCTCCTCTGTCAACACCTTTCATTGACTTATCTTTTTTGGAGACTGGAAGGAAGTCTTGAAGAATGAAAAGATTTTGAGAGTGGGGTTTGCATAAGATTTCTGTAAGAAACCAGGTGCAGTGGCTTGCGCCTATAATCCCAGCACTTTGGGAGGCTGAGGTGGGTGGATCATGAGGTCAGGAGTTCAAGACCAGCCTGACCAAGATAGTGTAACCCCCATCTCTACTAAAACTACAAAAATTAGCTTGGCATGGTGGTGGGGTTCCTGTAATCCCAGCTACTTGGGAGACTGAGGCAGGAGAATTGCTTGAACTTGGGCAGCAGAGGTTACAGTGAGCCAAGATAGTGCCACTGCACTCCAGCCTAGATAACAGAGTGAGACTCCATCTGATTTCAGTAATAAAAGGTAAACATCCCAGGTGGCAAATGGCATAAACAAAACCATGGATGTGGGGAAGCACTGGCATGGTCAGGGTCTGACTGTACCCAGGGGTACATGTGGAAAAGCAGTGACACATATAGCTGGGAAGAAGACAGTTTCCTCAGTGGTCAGAAGGAAGATACTGAGTGATGAATTAGAATGTGGGATGTTTTATACTGTAGAAAATGTTCTGGGCTGTGTTTTACAAGAATTATTAAAAATCAAACAGATACAGGGCTGGTGGGAATATAAAATGGTATAGCCACTTTGGAAAACTGTTTGACAGTTATATATATAGTTAAACATATACCTATCCTATGACCCAGGAGTCACACTCCTAGGTATTCACCCAAGAGAAGTGAAACCTTACTCGTTCACATAAAAACCTGCTGATTGATGTTCACAGAGGCTTTATTCATAATTGCCAAAAACTGGAAATAAATTGTCCTCAGCTAGTGACAGGATAAACAAGCTGTGGTATATCCATCCATACAATGGAGTTCTACTCAGTGAGGGGAAAAAGGAATTAACTACTGATGCATACAACATGGATGAAACTCAAATATGTATGTTAAGTGTAAGAATCAGACTCAAAATGCTACATACTTTATGATTTCATTTATCTGACATTTTGGAAATCATAAAACTGTAGGGGCAGAAAAAAGATCAGTGATGTCTGGAGCTGGAGAAAGGAGGAAGATTGATTATAAACAGGCATAAAGGAACCTGGGTGGTAATGGAACTGTTTTACATCTTGATTGTGGTAGTGGCTACGTGACTGTGTGTTTGCCAAAACTCACAGCACAGTACACTGAAAAGGGTGCGTTTTACTCTAGGCAAATTAACTCTTTTTTTAAATTTTTTTATTGTTTTGAGACAGAGTCTCACTCTGTCACCCAGGCTTGAGTGCAGTAGCATTATCTCGGCTCACTGCTATCTCTGACTACTGGGTTCAAGCAATTCCTGTGCCTCTGCCTCCCTAATAGCTTGGAATTACAGACATGCACCACTATGCCTGGCTAATTTTTGTATTTTTAGTACAGACTGGGTTTCACCATGTTGGCCAGACTGATCTCAAGTGATCCACCTTAGCCTCCCAGAGTGCTGGAATTATAAGCCTGAGCTACTGCGCCTGTCCTAATTATCACTTTATCTTTAAAAGCTGAAAAATCAAACAATGCTTGTAAGTTTATATTAAAGCAGAATGAAGGATGAATTAAAAGAAATCTTTTAGAACCTAGCAAAATCCAAGGTGAAAATTAGTTTATAACACTTCCTGAGAGCATTCATTTTTCTATCCTCAGCCTTAAATAAAGGGACTTAGAAACACTTAATGATTTCAGCTTAGTGATATGGCTGGATCTTTCTAACTAAAACAATGGTTTGCTTTGAAACCCTTTGCCAATTAGGTATTATTGCCCACCTCTGCTATTCCGCCTGGCTCACTGCTTCTTCTCGCCGTGGTAGGAGTTATTCAGCCCTCCGATTCATTTGGCATCCTGTTGTTTAGCTTTTTCTGCCAGTGTCTGGGTCAAGTCTGTCTGGTAGCTCTGCGTTTATGACCTGACTTCAGGTAACTTGAGGTTACCTTATGATCCAGCCCAAGAGGTAGGACCCTTCCTTGCTCTTTGGAACCAAGTACCTGCTTTATTTCTCAGTTCTGGGAACCAGGTTCTTAACTTGCTCCCCCATTCCCTGGCTTCTGCTCTGGTGTCTTGTCTGTTCATAGGATCTCCAAATTCAACTTCAAACCATATTATTGTCTATTATACACTGAGCACTCTAAATCCTGAGAATATAATAATATTAATAGATAGCATTGATAAATGCTTTACCTATACAGTTGTCCCTTGTTGTCCCTTGTATTCATAGAGGATTGGTTTCAGAACTTCCTGTCGATATCAAAATCTGATGATGCTCAAGTCTCTTATATAAAACGGGGTAATATTTGTATATAACCTATGTGTATCCTCCTGTATACTCTAAATCATCTCTAGATAATTTATAATAATGAATACAAAGTAGATACTATGTAAATAATTATCCCACTGTATTGTTTATGGAATAATGACAAGAAAATTATACATGTCTGGTACAGATGCAATTTTTTTCTGAATGTTTTTGATTCAGAGTTGGTTGAATCCATGGATAAAGAACCCGCAAATACAGAGGGTGACTCTTACTCCTTTATCCTCACGACATCTCAATGAAGTAGGTACTATAGGTTGAGCATCCCAAATCTGAAAACGTGAAATCTGAAATGCTTTAAAATCTGAACATTTTTGAGCACTGACGTGACACTCAAAGGTAATGATCATTACAGCATTTTGGATTTCAGGTCCTCAGATTTGGGATGCCCATCTGGGAAGTATAATGCAAACATTTCAAAATCTGAAAATATCCAAAATCCAAAGTACTTCTGGTACCAAGCACTTTGGATAAGGGATTCCTAACCTAGATTATTATTATTATTATTATTATTATTTTTAAGCCAGTCAAATTTAACAGTGGGGGGTCGTATATCAACTTTAGTGACACTAATGTTAATAAGTTCTGATAACCCACTACCATTGGATCAGCCCTAACCTAGGTTATTATGACCACTTTACTGATAAGAAAACTGAGACCCAGAGAAGTGAAGTGAAGTAACTTTTTCAGACTCTGATTACAAAAAAGATAAAACAATAAAGAAAGAAATAGTCCCTGTTTCAAAGAGTTCATAGATTAGTGGGACAGACTATTAAATCTGTTTTTTAGAAAAAGAATAATAGTACATAACATATTAACTATATACCAAAAAGGAAATACAAATGAATAATAAAATATGAAAATACACTCAACCAAACTAGTAATCAGACAAAAGCAATTTAGAACATGATACCATTTTTCAGTCATTAGGGTGGCAAAAATCATAAATTTGATGATATTGTGTGTTTACAGGGGTGAGAAAACAGTTCCTCCAATACTCTAGAAGTCAATTTGATGGTATTTAAATTAAATTTATGTTTAAAAATTATTGCAGTTTTACTTGTAGGTATCTGAGAAAAATACTTCCACATGGGCACAGGAAGCATGGACCATGATATTCATTGCCATGGTATTTGTAATAATGACACATTGAAAGCCAAAATGTTTTTTAATAGGGCCATGAACAAATAAATTGAGATATAGCTACACTAAGGAGTACAGTGCGACAATTTCAAAGAATGAATTATCCATACCAACAAGGAACATTGTAGAACATTACACATAATATGATTTCATTTGAATTGTTTTTGGAAACACAAAATAATAATACTTTTTTATATACTTCCATGTATTTTTATGCCTAGAAAAAGTCTAGAATTCACACCAAACTACAATAGCAATTTCCTCTGGGGAGTGAGGAGGGGATATGGATTGGGAGTGATGGTCAAA